AATCTTGGAGCCTGGGGTAAGTGTTCTGTCTTAGAGAAGTATTTTAACTACTACTTACACTTGCAAATTAAGGGAAATTTAGGTCATATTGGATCTTCTAAAACTAAAAGGAACTGGCCATCATTACAAGTCTTACTAGGGAATTGAGTCTTACTTGTTTTGAATGAAGGCAACTGTAATGCATGCTTTCAGGTTTACTTTAAATTTTAATGCACTAGGGCGATGTGGACCCAGAAGTGGAAGAGCCATGTAACTACACAGTATGTGCGCTGCATCTGTATCTGTATCGGTGTTTTAGATCCTCTTGTGCATTTCAGCTTGCTTAAAACATCAAAGGCTGCAGAGAAGCTCAAAAAAGAGAAAAAAAACTAAACTGAAGGACAGGTGGAATGCAGTGACATTATGTGAGGAACTTGCCAACCCACATCTTTCAAAGCCTATATAGTACATGCATTATAGTCATATGAAATGTTGTCTGGGTGCTTTCTTTCTGAAGGACTATGGCAGCAGCTTTAAAACTACTAACAAAGATTACACAGGTCATCTTATACACAGGCAAACTGCTTTGCACAACTAGAACAGAACAGTTCTTTTTAAGTTCAAATGAAACTGTCACAAGACAGACTTGATATATTTCATATATATTGGGAAACTTTAGAAACAGCCATTTATTATTTGGATTAAATGTGTGATTTGTTCTGCAGTACAGAGTACACTTTTTAGGTTATAGCCAGTCTTCACATGAGCAGATTCATACCATTGCAATACACAGGAGTTCATAAATAAAATTCTACTCAAGTAGGCAGTAACTAGCAGGTTTCGAGTCAACAAAGTCTCAGTATTATTTAGTTCTCATCACCAAAGGTGAGTCTCTCGGATTTCGGCAATAATTTGACCAGCTCCTTGCAATGCCTGCATTGAAAGACATAAAAAATGTATTAATCTGAATGATAGGGGATTTCTCTAATTTCTGTGTGGTATGTTTACACTAACCAGCATCTCTGGAATTTGAAACCGATTAAGTACCAACAGAAAAAAACCTTGCTAGAGTCTGTACATATCCAAAACTCCTTGCCTACACGTATCTACTACTCAGGTATACAAATTCCAAAAAATTCACAATATTACCTTTAGCATATCAGCTGCTTCTTTCCTACGCTGTGCCATGTCCTCAGATTCAGTCAGAAGATCATCCAACAAGGATGACTTATACAGTTGTCCTACTAACTCGCTCTGAAGAGTGTCTTTTACATGATTAACCAAAAAATGCATCACTGCCTTTGGCACACTGCAAAACAAAACCAAATTATAAGACTTTGGCAAAAATTCTACTTTTAAAAATTTGGGCTTAGATGCTAAACTCAAATAATTTGATTAATGGAATAATCACCCTTCATATTTTTTCTTAATTACAATCAAATATTAGAAGCCATAGTTCTTGGTATTTTAACTTCTTTCATCTCATCTATCATTATCCCTTATGTCAAAACTTTGCATTACTCGAAATAGCCAAAAAGTGGGAAAAACCTAAACATCTATCTACTAACAAATGGATAAACAGAATATTATATATGTACATAGCCATGTGTCACTTAACTGAGATACACTCTGAGAAATGTGTTAGGCCATTCTGTTTTTGTGTGAACAATGTAGAATACTTAACACAAACCTAAATGGTCTAATATACTACATACCTAGGCCTGTTGCTCCTGGCTACAAACCTATACAGCAGGTTACTGTACTGGACATTGTAGGCAACTGTAACACAGTGTTAAGTATTTTTATATCTGAACATAGAAAAGGTATGGTATTATCACTGTCACATGTGGTCCATTTTTTGACTGAATCATCATTACATAGAGCATGTGACAATACCGATCCCAGCTACAATATGAATGAACCTTAAAAAATAAGTAAAAAA